TAAACAAAGGAAAACTCCGCAAATGGATAAGGTTTTTCACGTTTCGGCATATTTTCTCACTTAAAGTTTACCATGACATATGTTTATCTAGATGTGTAGACTCGTAAAATATGAAACAGAAGAAAATATTATCAATGTTGCGGAGAATAATGTGATTTGGCGCGGTCACAGTATGTGGTTAAGCGGAACCTATGGAACGGGGTAAACGGAAGTTGTAAGTGTCGGAGGGACACACGTTTTTGCCGAAATTTAGGTAAACATCATTAAATGAAATTTTAAATAATATTAATAAAATAGATGACAAACATAAGGTCAGATATACAGAGAACACATTTTTATTACCAGATAGTGTAACAACAGGATTAACTTGCGTAATTCAATTCGGATTTGTTATGCTATTTCCGATGACGGATCATGACAGCCTGAAATGAGACTGAAGAAAAGTCTGTGCATATTATACATGAGAGATATTTTTATCAGGATTTAATTGCCCATAATTAGGGGTGTGTATTATACACGAGTGTGTATTATACACGAATAAATATGGTATTTACGAAATGTAAAGCTTTGGGCGTGTTTGTTGTTGCTCATAAACTGTATTCAACCAGAAAATATTACGAGTGTTCACAATTCTTCAGTTCAACTTCACTGTTGATAGATAATACAAGATAACTAGATAAAACATGTAAATGAGTTAGTGGTATTAAATCATAATCTGACATGAAATGTATTTTAATATCCATCCATGATTAAAAATTATGTCTCACAGTTGAGACTGATGTTATTTATTCATCCTGTATTAGTGTCACTGTAAATTGTTTCATGAGCTGTGAAGTAATTAAAGATTGTGAAAAAATGTAACCAACAAACTTTGTTTTTCATTCATATATCCTTTATTTCTCTGCAGTACAATCAGCTGAGAACATTAATTAGCACTTGTTAACTTAAACTAAAGACATATAATATTTAAAAGATACTTAGCTTTAAGTGTAACATTAAAGTGAACACTTTAAATTTCATTAATCATACAATAAAACATTTGACTCTCAAAAAATATTTTTGACTCCCAAAAATTCATAGGCTGAGTCAAGGTGACTCTCAGATATTGAAGTCTTGGGGGAACACTGATACTAGAAGTTGACTTGGAATATCCAACAGAGTTACATAAAGACCATAACAGTTATCTTCTTGCTCCCGAAAGATTAGTGGTTAATAAAGATTGGATGTCAGAATATCAACACTCCTTGATGGGTAATACTAGGTTAGCTAACATAGAAAAACTCGTACCAAATTTGATGGATAAGACCAAATATATAGTTCACTATAGAAATCTCCAGTTACATCTTTCATTAGGCATGAAACTAAAGAAAATACACAGTTCTAAAGTTTGATCAAAGCCCTTGGATGGAGCCCTATATAAGACTGAACACAGATTTAAGAAAGATGGCTACCAGCGATTTCGAAAAGAACCTATATAAGCTCATGAATAACACAGTATTAGTCAGATCTAATGAGGAAGAAAGACTTAGGAAACTTATAGCCAGCCCGTCTTTTAACAGAAGCAAGATATTTTATAACAACTTAGCCGTGCTACATATGCAGAAGAGTAATATAAAATTCAACAGACCGGTGTACGTTGGTATGAGTATTCTTGATTTGTTAAAACACTTAATGTATGACTTTTATTACAACGAACTTAAGAAGCAATACGGCAATAGGTGTGAGGTGTTATATACGGACACAGATTCTTTGTTGATGGAAATACAAACCTAGAATGTGTATAAAGATATGGCAGAAAAAATAGATATGTACGACACGAGCGATTACCCAAAAGATAATCCACGGCACAGCGTAGTAAATAAAAAGGTGTTAGGTAAGATGAAGGATGAATGTGCTGGGACCCCTATTGCGAAGTATGTCGGATTAAGACCTAAGATGTTTTCTATAAAGAAGGCTGATAATGGGGAGATAAGAAAAGCTAAGGGTGTTAAGAAGTAAGTAGTAAAAAAGCATATCAAACACAAACAGTATAAAGAAGCATTATTCAATGGTAGAACATTCAAACACGAGATGAACACTTTAAGAAGTGTCAATCACAAGATATATGGATTAAGAATGAACAAGACATCATTATCCCCCTTAGATACAAAGAGATGGATTGATAAGGATGGTGTAACTACCTATGCTTATGGTTACTTAGGGCGGTAATATTGTATCGTTGGGAACTATGAGCACCTCTTCTCGTACAAATGCCCTGCCTGGTCCATCTTTAAGATAATAAAGAATAGGCTCTCCTTCTTTCATAACCAATCGACTAATGTTATATATCTTAAGAGACCAAATCGGATCGGTTGCGCGACGTTGGCCTCCTTTGAGTTCACCGGGCTGGTATCAATATCTTACGCTTACTCTTTACGGAAGTTTTTGTTCTTTGCCTCTCCTCGGTGCTGAAGATTCGGAAGTCACAGATTTCATTTTAATCGTATCAGATGGTTTCTTCTCGATCAATCTCGTTACTTCATTATTCAGCACTGATACAACAGCTGATAATCGTGTCATCCATTCGGTTGATCTTAATCGTTCCGATTTCATTTAAATCCCATACTGATAGCCAAACAAACGTTCCGCTAATGTCCGGTTAAATCTTTCAATGATAGCTTGACTACGGTGGGCCACTTTTTCACCACACCTGATTTCGACATCGTGCTTTGTTAACAGTTTAGTTACCGATCCCATAAACTCGCGACCGGGATCTACTTGAAATAGCTTAGGCCATTTTAGTGGTTCGCGTTTATATATGCGACTCAGTTCATTAGCTACTTCTGTTGAATCCTTCGGGGGTTAATGGCTCAGCCTCTTTGTATCGACTAGCCACATCCACTACGGTTAAAGCGTATTTATACATTTTGCGTCGTACCTTATCATGGGGAAGAAACAAGAGGTCAGCCTGATGAACTTCATTCGTTGTAAAAATATCAAACTTCTTCCTCGGGATATAATGCGGTGCCGGTGAGTATATTTGCCACATCACTTGTTTCTTTAACCAATCCTTGGCCACATCTTTAGATACCTAAGCCTTGGTGGCTAATTTTTGTATTGCTTCTATACCTTTCCAATATCCTCGTGGGCTATAGTAAATTTTATCCATTATTAATTAATATTGATGTTTCTTTTAATACGAGTCATGACGATCGTTGAATCACATCAGCATTTTGACATAAAAAAATTCCCTCTGTGGTAGCAGTATAGGTATATAAATCTGGCTCCAGTGGGGTTGCGACAGAATCACCATTACCTATATTACTACACATCCTTCTCAATCATGTGCATAATCAGTGTTAAAAATACCCATCCGAGAGTCCGAAACAATCTATTTTGCTGACCGACAGTCAGTATTGAAAGTTGCATGCCTGATAAGTTACCTAAGCATTCTAGTTTTAATGCAATATAAGAGGTAAATCAACTGTTTTGTTTTGTTTGTTTGTTGTTTAATGCCACACTCAGCAATATTCCAGCCATATGACGGCGGTCTATAAATAATTGAGTCTGGACCAGACAATCCAGTAAGTGACATCATGAGCATCTATCCACGCAATTGGGATCAATGACATGCATCAACCAAGTCAGCGAGCCTGACCACCCGATCCCGTTTGTCGCCTCTTACGACAAGTATAGTCACCTTTTATCAACTGTTAACGTTAAACACATTATTGATGTATTTAATTTCAATAAGTTAAAGTTACTAAGTTTACAATCCACCAGTTTATTGTTACTTGCTGAGAATTAACATTAAACTACCATTCTTTTTTACCATTTTCTTTCCTTTTTTGGTTAGTCTAGAAAATTCTGGACTGGCAACATTTTATCTGGTCTGGTAACTTTGCAAAGTTTCCAGTCCAGTTGTCTGACTGAAATTATAGGGAATTTTATACACTGGCATCATGATGACAATGTCTGAATTGAAAAATACTATATGCATAATAGTTCCTTTGTTATAATCTGTTATGTCCCATAAACTAACTTGAAACAGAAACATAAATAATATTGAAAATAAAAGTGTTTTCATAATCTAGTGCTTGCTATAAAATGTGCCGCTGCAAGGCTATGTTTAGTAAACAAATATTGAAAACTCTCAACATCACTGGGTTTATGTTATGTAGAGGTGATATATCAATGAGAAAAGCTTATGCACACTCAATGACCCCAGCAACATTGTTGCTTGGCTAATGTCACATGGCATTGTTTCGCCAGTGTGTTTGAAACAAAATGTCACAAATTACATCATAGGGTATTGTGGCCTGCGTGTAAACTTTGTGGTTCTGAATTCTGAAGGTAGGCCCAACGTTGTCCGATGGCTTGTATCCGCGAAACTGTGCAGAAAGCGATGAGCGAAATATTCATGGAAAACCTCTTACGACAAGCATAGTCGCCTTTTACGGCAAGCATGGGTTGCTGAAGAGCTTTTCTACCCTGGCTCTTCACGGATCTAGTACGATGGATAAGTGCATGTCCTGTCTCTGCTAAAGAGGAATTATAGTGGCGAGTTCAATAGCACATTATAGTATGTGCTGATGTGAGGTACCCGATGGGTGTACGAATTGTGTACAAATTGGCGAACAGTTCATTTGTAATTAGGCTTACCGTATTCGACGTAATAAGCGCCCCGCTCCAATAAGCGCCCAGGGCGATATTTGTTAATATATTGGCAAGTGAACAATACCAATTAGCACCCCTTCCAACTGATCAATGTACACAAGACTTATTTATCTGCGTATGATACACACTTGTGTGTTACATGCACCCTTAATTATGGCCAATTTAATTCTGGAAAAATATATCTGTCGTACATAAACATTATCTTTCAACTCTGTTTTTTTCACCAAAATAATATTCTAATAAGAGCCCCCTATTCCTAATTTTGTGAGCGCCCTGGGCGCTTATTACGTCGAATACGGTACTTTGAATTATTTTTCCCATGCATCATGGTAAACAAAACTAACCTTGACAGGTAAGCAATCGCCGGTCGAATTTATTTACGTTGTGGTGTTGTTGAAAGTGGCGCTGGTTGATACACAAAGGAATATTCGATTCGGTTATCCAATTTTTTGTTAACAGCCTTCTTGCAGTTATATACATTGAAGGGAGTTTGATACTCATCCTTGTTACTTTGGCCGGAAACGGATGTCTAAATCGGAAAACGCGAGGTTCCGTGAGTTGACCCGGAAGTACTTACCATAGCAACAGACCATGCGTAAACATGGTCATCCGGGTTGTTTGGCTGTTGCCAAGATACTGAGGTCTGGTATCCATATTATATTTGGTGTCGCGTTTACTCGGTAGCTATTTCGCAAGGAATTTCACCTTAGTTAAGTGATTTCACCTTTTCGTGCAGCATTCGACAAACAAGCCAAGATGCTAAAAGGCATCCCACAACAGTCCAACAAAGGAATGGGAAAACAGAAGGTAACTAGGCCTAAACGTTCGTGTTCAACTGCTTTCACATCGAAGAGCTATCAAACACAAGCCACGGTGAGTATGGGAATCACAGGAGTTTGGTACCCAACAACCTCTCATTTTTGCGTATTTTTGCGTCGCTTTTGCAGTATAACTTTGCAGTATAACAAAACTTTACTTCATAATTCGGTTGCTGCGGTTATTAATTATCGTAAAAGAATAATTATAAGGGAACAGAATATCCCCTATCATTAGTATAACCTTCAGTGAAATTTTCCGGAGAGACTTGAAAAAGTGTACCAAACGCCTGTTGGGATAAAGAAATTTCAAGCAGAGAAATCGACCATCCCTTCCCTATTCCGTAAGGACATTGTTCTGTTGTGTTTTGTTCAAGCTATTACTTTAGTGAATCTTCACGTCACATTGAACTCTGTGGTTTCTGTATCCCCTCGGCCATTTATAATAAATCGTAGCTAAGTTATCAGAATTTACTATATCCAACATCTACTGGTTGATAATGTAGTGACATGTCCCTCATACAGCCACATTCTTTCGGGTCTGCTGATTTTGTTCCAGTGAGGGTGCACATTAAAGAGACCCTCTAGTTCCCAAACCATTGTTTGCATTTAAGTACTGTATTTCCTTGAGAAAAAAATATATTAATTCAATAATGTATTTTGTCCCAAAATTAATATGATTTGAGTCCCTGTCTCGACCATGGTAAGTATTTTTAGAACTCAACAAGGGGAAAACCTAACTCAATACATTTTCAGAATATGTAAAATCAACATCGTACTCCAGGGTTAGAAACTAACAGTTTTCGTCCACTAGTCCTTATAATGATAACATATAGCAAAACCCTTAAAAAGGGCACATTTCTACTGGTCCTTATGATACCTTTACCATTGAGCAGTTTGGCAAGGACTATAGGACTAGTGCCAATTTCTAACGCTGTACTCTGCATTAGTTGTTATATTGTAGGAAATTGTATTGGCAAGGATTTTTCTAGACCTGCAGAGGGACTGATATTTGTCCCCAAACCTGCAGCAAACTTGGTTACGGGCAGGCATGGTGTCTAGTGTCTTTAGTCTATAGACACTTACCAGCGGTAGAAACTAAGAGTTTTAGTCCATTAGTCCTTAAATGATAACTTATAGTAAAATCCAAAAGGGCAAATTTCTACTTGTCCTTAGGATACATTAACTTGGCAAGGCCTATAGGACTAGTGCCAATTTCTAACGCTGTTCACGAGTGACCCCAATGTCATGTGGCACACTCGTCCCATTCAGTAATCTACAAGATACTGAGTGGTGAAGAATGAAGTGAAAACAGCTCTTGGCGTTAGACGTCAAACTCGCGGGTACCCATGAATGACATGGTTATTTTAATAATTCGTCAGATAATTTTTGTGACAGAAAATTGTGGTAGGGAACACTGTAAGGATAACATGGATAATTGTCAAGAAACGAGGGAGGCATAAGCATGGCTAATGATGGCATTAGGGCAGGTTGGCTTTTGAATCAGTACTGAATAAATGTAGCGGGTGAAAGTGGCTTGTGTGAATGTTCCAGGACAGTTTCCAGTAGCTAAAATATTCTACACTGAACCATTCCTTCCTGCTTTCTCAACGTTATTTTTTGTGAAGAATATTAGGAGCCGCTATAGAATCTATAATAGCCACTAAACGGTACCTAACCCTAATAATTGTAAAGCTAGGGTTGATAGATCGTAAAGGGGATTCAAGGGCTACCTAACCCTAATGATAGTAAAGGGGTGATTGATCATAAAAGGGATCCAAGAGCTAAGGATAGCGTTCGGGGTAAGCTACCCTAACACTGTCTACATTTGGATGTGTTCAGCGCAAATATAATATACCTAATAAATTGCATTCCTTTGCATAATAATGAAAGTTAATGGATTAAAAAAAATAAAATATGAAAATTAGTTCTCATTTATAATCATTTTAGCCAATTGAAATACGAAAAAATAAAAATAAAAAATGTATTGTAAATAAAAGTGCTTTCATTAACTAGCGCTTGCTATAAAATGCGTCGCCGCAGGCTATATTTAGTAAACAAATATTCAAAACTCTCAACACCGCTGGCGTATTCAATGACATTGCATGTAGAGATGATAGATCACTGGGTGGAGCTTATGCACACTCGATGACCCCTGATGTCCAGGGCATTGTTTCGCTGGTGTGACTGGCAACAAAATACTACAGATTACGTCATAGGGTATTGTCACATGTTTGAAAAGTTTGTGGTATTGTATTCTTAAGATAGGCCAAATAATGTTATGTCTTTGTAGATGTGACTTGTGTTTCACTGATAACAAGACAAGTATAATGGAAGAGGCTTTAATGCTCAGTTTAACTTTCTTGCATTGAATGTAATGTTAAAATTCAAAGTTAAGATTCTTCTGAATTCAGTAAAAATAAGAACTTTAAAAACATCTCAATGTGAAACAAAATAACAATTTTTCCCAAGTTGCCTGCCAAGGGCACTTAATTTTCATTCCTAGATATATCCCTAATCTGTGTATCAGTGACAGTAGATGATGGATTGGAAAAGCTGAGTGGTAACTACAATTTCTGATATGACCTGTGTTCGGATGTCCTCGGATTTGTGTGTAGTTGGAGCAAGCACTAAAATGTGATTTGAATGAGATTCTTAATAATGCACACTGTTGTTAGCACTGTTATTAGTCTTGCTGTAGATTTAATTTTCATGAATAGTTTATTGCACTTTTTCTTGATTGTTTTCAAGTTGGTGTTCCATTTTAGCTATGGTTTCACGTAATTACGATTATTTCAAAAGTGATTGCATACTCTTGTGAGTTCTATTGCACCCTGTTGTTAGCACTTGCTGTTTGATTGTACTTATTCAATGATTTTCTTTATTGTTTAAAGATAACATAATAATTTATGAAGTGAATTCATTAGTTTGCTTTATCATGATTTATTAGGAGTAGCAGCCCAGTGATTTAAGGCGCAACAATTTGCTGTGCAGACTTTTGTCCCGTTTTCATGTCAGAATATGATGATCTAGGCCATGTTTATTTATAATCCTTGGTTTGTCGCCAACAAAATGATATCTATTAAATTGTAGGTAAATGGTCCAGTTGTAGCTGACAAACAGTCAAAAAGGACTTATGAACTAACTTAATGTTCTGGGTTTCACGCTTTCATGTTGCTCCTCACACAATAAGAAGGCAATTTCATTCCAGCAATAGTTATCTTCAGACCGTGGTCAAAATTAATGATTTATCATCTGTGCCTCATGCTTAGTTGGATTAACACCAAAGAGATTTTGGAATCATGTACTGATGGAATGGGCAATGTAAACTTATGGCCAGTAAACTTTTCCTAATAATGACGTAATGCAATATCACCTCTCATTTGCACACAAGCAGTCAAAACACTATGTATATTGCTTCACAAATTAAGCTGAATATGAATCATACTACTTGATTGATCTACTCTTTTCATTCTTTCATACATGCAGAATATTGCTGATTGCATGGATGAACAAGAAACAAATCTTTCTTTGATAGTCTTATTGATATACTGTCAGTTGCCAGAAGATAGAAGCAATATTGTAAAGGGAAAACTCACACCTAATTGAAACTAATTTGTTATACCTTTTCAAGATATAATTTTGGTTGGTTGGTTTGTTGTTTAACGCTGCACTCAGCAATATTCCAGCTATATGACGGCAGTCTGTAAATAATCGAGTCTGGACCAGACAATCCAGTGATTAGTATCATTAGCATCGATCCGCGCAATTAGGATTGATGACATGCATCAACCAAGTCAGCGAGCCTGACCACCTGATAAAGATATAACAGGTTAAACAAACTGATATAAATCTACAAAATGAACAGAAAATATTGTGATACCTAAATTGACTTTAAGATTTCACCTCGTTACTAGAATTTGAAAAAGCACCAAAGCAGGACCCACTGTTAATAAAATGCATGCATAAAATGGTCAAATTAGGTGGTAAACATATTGTGTTTTAGGTGTATAACTATGTTACAATTATATTTGATGGCCCAAGAATGATTTGGAGCCAAACAGGCAGCCTGAGGTCTTGTACATGTTATCACTTTCATCTAGTTGTATGTACAAAAAAGTTATTAATTGTAGGGCACAGGCAGTGTGCCTGCCTGCTAGCCAAATGCCAGTGACTTTAAACTTGGGTTAGTAACATTTCCATGAAGCTTAGTGCCTGACTGTTTAGTAAAAATTCTAGTCAATACATATTTATTTCTACAAATCATCAAATCAGTTAAGGTGTCGCTTACTGTAAAAGTCTGTTGTCATTTTGTTTTCATTTCATAGGTTCTTGAAAACCAATGCGAAGTAGTAAGTAGGGTTTTTGCTGTACACTCATCATGAATCATATACAAGGACACACATTATTAGCGAAGCATGTGAAAGTGTAAGAACCACCACAAATGTCAGACAATGTTTAGTACCAAGGAGCATCACCCCTGTTCAGCATAATGGTCCCAAAACAAACAAAATACATTAAGGTTAACACAAATTATGTTGGCTAAAGCTTTAAGGCTAGTAAAATAGGATGAGATGCATGCAACATGTTTTAGTTAACAAGCCCTCATGGCCAGTTAACTTTGGAAACTAATTCTTACACTGGGCACAGAACACCACCATGCACCATGCACCATGCAGAGTTAGGTCACTTAGATATGCACAGATCTTGTTATCATGGGTTCAAATGCCAGATTTGTCCTTGGTTTATTAGCACCAATACTATGCTCATTGGTAAACATATGAAGCTGACATACCATAATATAAATGAAAGAAATGCTCAGAGTTGAGTTACATCCAAATCAATCATTCTTAAATTGTAGTACATTTTGTTATGATGTAGAAGATAATAATTACTGAACTTATGCATGTTTCTAAACTGTAATGCCTTAACATGTTACTGATCAAGTACTGACATTTTAAATCTTTCATAAAGAATAATGGTGTGTACAGGTGGATAGATTTAATTATGTCCTTGTTCATGATGTTCATTGATGCTACTTGCAGGTTGAAGGACCCCCTGAAGCTGGGGCATTCAAAGAGAGACGAAGCAAGGCAACAGCCTTCAAGAAGTTCTATGAAAGAGGAGATTTTCCCATTGCGCTAGAACATGACACAAAGGGCAATAAAATAGCTTGGAAGGTAAAATGTTTAAAATACTCCAACTCTGTTCAGTACATGTACATTCTATAAAAGGTTAAGATATTGGTAAATATGAACTTTTCCTGGGTAAGACGTGTGTATGAGTACTGCAACCTTGGCATCAGCCTCTCAGACATCTCTGTACATGCGAATATATTTGCAGCTAAAACACTGCAAAACATGAACTGTGGTATTGCACGACAGTGTCTGTTCCAACGATTTCCACTATCTTGGATGTAAGAATTCTCTGTACATGTAGTTCTGAATTGTCTTCAGGGTAATCAGGAATTACACCCCCAACTGTCAACTTGGTAATGACTCTTTTACAGTGTTTGTTTGTCTCTTTTCCCATCACAGAAAATTTGGACACACATGTAGGTGCCCCCATTTCCGGTGATGATTTACACATGCACAAACAGAGCATTCACAATTATTCTAAGAGGGTGCTTTCATCTGGCAAAACAAAATGTTGCGAGACTGTATTTGTGCATTGGTGGTAAAATATATATTCTGAATCTTCAGACATTGTGTTTTGAGAGATCAAGTGACATTTATTTGGTTGACATTCTCATCTGCATCTATTTTCCAGGCTTTGTAAATGCTCTTGAATGGTAATGAGTTTAAGGATATAGTGGAACGAAAACTCAAATCCATGAAAAAAAAGGTGCATTAGCTTACAATTGAAACACTATGCACTTTATAAAATGATTGCACAATCATATAAGACTATTTGTAAACCTATTTATGTTTAAAGTTATTTTTGGTTTTAACAATGCAGTTTGCCTAAATATATGACTAGTGTTGCTCTGATTAATCATATCCGTTTACTGGTTGTATACCAAAATTCAATTATTGATCAAGTAATCATAATATCCATAATAAAATACTAACCTACATATTTTAATGATCATATATTCCTTGAAAATCTCTTTCCACAATAACTGTATATTTTTGTGAACTCGATCCTCATGGCAGCTGTCTGCCGGACTGTCAGCTTCACTGCACCACATCTCTATAGTGCTTCAGTGTGGGGTTTGAGGTAGTGCTGTCAAGCGCTATAGGTCACATGCAGATCAGAGAGATGGAGTTCTATTTATTTATTCATACATCTTTACTGCACAAGTATCGAAAGAGATGTATGCTTTGATAAACATTAAAGTTTAGATAACTTTGCATCAATACTTTATTCACACATAAACTGGCTGTTTGTGTAGAAATGCTTCATGCAATGTATTCTAGTGTAAAGCTGTGACATGCATAGACTCTGAGTGAATACTTAATTGGCTGTTAAACCAAAAGCACTTTTGTGAAGATGGAAAACGTTGGTAGGGTAATTTGTTAACAGATAAATACTGTAAATCTTGAAATTAATGCGAAAAGTTGGAATGGACTTTTTTCTCATTGATTAAACACCACATTTATATATATCTCAAAATGACTAGCAACAATATGACAGCCTTACTTCACATTTTGGATAGCAGAAATGACAGCTTGGACATGAAAACAACACTATATATTCCACATAACTGTTTATTGAGCAGCAATTGTAACAAGTATATAACAATGTCATTCAAACACTAGACATAACATAATGTACATCTGGTGAATTGTCACTGTTGGGGGGTCAAGATTTCTACTCATTTCCTTCATGCCACCAGTCAACAGAATAAAGACATAAATTATATGTTGGGTTTAGGAAAGCACTATGTATTGTTTTTGCGGAAGTACTCTACTCAGCACTATAAACGCTGCTATGTGCTGTTTGATTGGATTACAGTAAGGTTGGATTAAGGTAAAGAGTCACATTTTTGGCTAGGGGCCAGCAGTTGCATTCATTTGGAGACACATTCATTTCAGGACTTAAAGTACATCTTTTGTGTCCACTTCTAAATTGATGAATAACAGTCAAGTTAGCCTACAATTATGACCATAATAAAAAAAAGACATGTTGGTAACTCAACCAGACATTGAAATGCAATGTAAAATGTGATGATGAACTTCAGAAAACATTCACTGTCAATATTAATTATTGTTTATCAATTGATGAGGTTGATTATCAGTCATAAATGTGAAGGTTGATTCACAACACTAGATGATGCATAGACAGTTGAACAGTTGTTTTCTTAGTTTTATTTAGTTTTATTTATCAACTTTCACACAAAAATTAATCATCACTGAACAGTTATGACATATTTCATTTCAAATCTCTCTGGAAGGCCTTTAAGTATACATGCTAAAAGAGTGAATTTAATTCAGGAAATCTATACCAAGGGAAAATTAAAATGTTAGCAAACTTGTCACAGTATATTTTTTTCACTTGTAATGCTTATGAAACAACCCAAACACAGACAGGCTCGTACAATATATCTAAAGCTGAGATATCACAAAGACATAACAGATCACAAGCGTAGAATAGGTTTTCATTGAATTGTTTGATAGGCATTACTTAGAAGTTGACGGATGACAAGGTAGACACAATTTTTCTAGATAACTTTTTTAATACTGTAAAAAGCGACGTTTGGGTATAGATCCTTATACCATTGTGAAGCAACTTGACAGTGTAACTTGCTTGACAACGGTATAAGGATCTATACCGAAACACCGATTTTTACAGTATTAAAGAAGTTATTATCAATAAATTTGGTGTCTACCTAGTTTTTCATCGTGATCAAACCCAGATACCCTCAAAAGCTAATGCAACAATCAAACACAACATCAAACCAACTCATCAACAGCAATTTTCACACTGGTAGCCAGGTCATCCTGTAACTGATCCACCAATTCTGCAACTGTCACAAACAACTTTCAGAAGAACACACTATTGTACATTATTTCAAATTTTATGTTATTTTATTTTTTACAAACATTTGAAATTGAAAGGGCATGCTCCTTGTGCCATGTAGTAGCTGCACCACTGTAATTCCTACTGTCTGGTAAGTATGCAATTTTTTACTTATCCTGCTTTACTCCTTAATGCATTCACTGCTTACCTTACGACAACTAGAAGGACAGCGCAACTGCGAAGGTCCTGGGTGAAGAAATAAAGTTGTTGTTCTGAAGTCCCTTTACTGACCTTCCGTCGCTGTCCTGTGACCTTGATGACACCTACGGTCATCTTCTTCACATCACTGCTTGTCGCACTACAGCAAGGACGTGTCCCAGCGGAGCTCTCCTTTTGGATTAATTTAGACCTTCAGTTTTTGTCTACAATCCTAAAATTGATCTGCGATGGGTGATGTATTCTTTTCATATTACTATCACCATGCTGTGTAGTTTTATGAGAATTAATTAGGAGTAAAAAGACCCTGTCTTTTTTCCCGCCACATATTTGTTGTTCGCAGCCATTTTGAATTGTGTTACATTTTTTGCCTGCCAAGGTAGTCAAATTGTTTACATTTCTCAGCTACGTATGTATAACATATTCTTGTGTTCTTAAATACTACTATCTTTGGCGTAACAGGGAGTTGTGTATATATAAATTGTTGTATACACTTTCACCTCCTTAAAAATATGTTTGCAGATAGATTAATATCAATTCTACGTCTTTCTTCCAGTCCCGCTTCATCAACAATTCTATAATTGCGAAACTTATGTTTGTGCATTGTGCAAATTGTCCTGGAAAAAATCTTACAAGATTATCATTCACGTTGCTAGGCTTGCACGCACAAAAATCTAAATGTAAATAGCTTTGGTTTACATTGAGTTGCGCGTATAAAACTGTTGTATACACTTTCAACTCGTATTTTTGCCGATAGATTATTGTTCAATTTTACAACATTCTTCCAGTACCTTCTCATCAACAGGGGTTTAATTGCGTAACTTATGCTTGAGTGTTGTACTTATTGTCGTGGAAAAAATCTTACACAAGATTATATCATCCACATTGTTTGGTTTGCAGGCAGATGTGCTCGCCAAACTCTAAATGTAAATAGCCTTGGTTTACATTGAGTTGTGTATATAAAACTATTGTATACACTTTCAACTAATATTTTTGCCGATAGATTATTGTTCAATTCTACAGCATTCTTCCAGTACCATTTCATCAACAATGGTTTAATTTCGTAACTTATGCTTGCGCGTTGTACATATTGTCATGGAAAAAATCGCCCAAAGATCTTTATCCACGTTCCTCGGCATGCACGTAGATGTGTTCGCCAAATTTTAAATGTATTTTTTTACGTAAATCTCTCGCCAACGAGTTTCACAATAAAGGCAGGTTACTCACAGTAATATTTTGCAGCAATCCCGTCGTGAGACAAGAGGAATGTCACAATCACTCAATAGAGAAGGACATGGTTTGGTCATTTCCACCCAGCTGTTATTATCGGCGGGTAATATGACGCCCGTAACTGTGACTGCAGAAGTGCACCCTCCACCAAAATCAACAATTCCGGAGGATTTTGTGAGTATTGTAACTGCTCCTAATTTTCAGCCGCCTGACACATCCAGATCTGTTAAATCTGCGACGCTGTCTCAAAACGCTTTGATGGGGGTAGCGCAGACGCAAACCATGGTCCAGTCAATACCAATGAGCTTTGTGTCTCAGTTACCTGCGCCGATCGCTGCACCCGACTACTACCCAAGAGCCTCTATTACACAGGCGCGGCACAATGAGCTTAGCGCTGTTCCAACATATCCAGATGTACGCTCAGGCGTCAACATCGTTCCCATACACTAATTGGACAATGGTCCAAACGCTACTACAATGATCCCGTCATCACCGATGAGCCTTGTCTCATAGACCTGCGCTGTACTCGGTTACACAACCGACACATGATACATCGCTGGGCAGCGCTAGTACGCCAGCACATACGGGAACATTGGCACATGACTCCTTATTCAGGCGGGTCATCAATACCTGCTGATAGAGGAGGCACTAAGCACCAGAGCAGATCACCGGCTTAGCGCAAATACCCGATTGGGTAGCAGACCATCTCGTGTCAGTGACGCCCTCTCCTGGTAACGGGGTAAATAAGAGAGACACCACGACGTCATTGGAGAAAGACTTCTCCAAACTTACATTTGCTCCGTCATTTAAGCCACCAACATCTTCAATGCTTGCAGTGGATCAGGATCTATCGGAGGATAACCCTATCTGATTAGAGCACTTCCAAACTATGGTGATTTTCCTACAGCGTCAGATTGAACACAGGAAAATTCATTTTGAGGCCACCCTGGTGGAGTTTACCGTCACACCAAGACTTTAGAGCATTTTCCAACTGGGACTCTGATTTCAAGGGCAGGCTGCTACATCAACCTTGGTCAACTACTTCCCTGTTCAATGCACGCCAAGGTCCCAAAACGCTTGGAATGACACTGTAACCAAGACTCGTCTAAGAGCACGTCTCTTTTAGTCTATCCCAGTGGCCTGGCAGGTCAGGCAATTTTAAGCCTAGACGTGTGTCTCTCAAGAAAAACCAGTATTCCCTTAGTGAGAAAGGGCGTGGCAGAGGCAATTCTCAAGGACGATTACGTACTCATCATACTATATCAGAGTACCGTAACCCATGAAGAACCCAGACAAGATGAGAATGATCCACAATCTCTCCGTGTTCAACAACCGTTATCTGAAGCATCCACGTTATTGCTGCCTCACCACGTTGAGATCACTCATAATCAACATCAATACATTTGATCCTTGATCAGTCTCGACTATTTATCCCAACCGCAGACTCCTCAGGTCCAGTTCAGTGGGGTTCACTACCAATGGGTAGTCATCCCACCAATATCGACTATTGTGGGAGCTGTACATGAAGGTGCATTTCTCCTGGGCTCGGTGCGAGCAGTTCGAGTTTTTCATTCGCCGCTCCAAGACTAGGCGTGGTTCGAGGAAGCTGTTATTTATACCTGTGTTTACTACGTCCACTACTGAAGTTAGTCGCAAACACCATATCTCTATGGTTATGCACAGTCATCCTTCAGGGCTACGAGATCGCTAAAACGGAATCCGCCAAGAGCGAATTACCCTCACGATCTCAGGGTGTTAGCCTTTACCAGGGCTTAACACTGCAATTGTTTTTTTATTATGAACAATCACGGAAGAATATTTTAGGAGGTTCGACACAGGTTTCGTTAGTCATTATCTTGGCGTTGTGGCTCTTGAGGACGTCGAAGGCGTGTGAAGTTTTTGCCCTCTGGTTGTAACCGAGCAGGTTACCAACCCCTGACGCAATAATGAACTCACCCTATACAGAGCCAGCCTACTTTCATGTGCAGTCACTCAGTTGCCGCCAGTGGAAGAATATTAGACAATCTTGTTTGTCTACGACGGCTCTATGACGTAGTAAGTAAAGAATTAGCTGATTAGCTATTATTTTCTTTATAACTAAGTGTGTACAGGGTATTTCTCTTTAATTCCTATGTTCAATAGGATATTTGAACAACCCTACCGTAATGACATTTTTCTGAACTTGACCAACTGGTGTCGTATTTCAGGGTGTGAATTATTGAGGTTTCTGTATTCTGAAGGTTTACCAACCTCCAAACCATCCGATACATATGCATTAAGGAGTAATGCAGGATAAGTAAAAAAATTAGTAAAAATCTAAATATTTTTTACATTTGTATACTTATCCTGCATTACTAAGTTTAAGGCCCATCCCTCGCAAGACTTGCCTCCCCACTTTGGCTTCAGAAAGCTGAAAAGTATGTTTTTCTAAGAGCTCGGGAGACAGGCAGTGATGTGAAGAAGATGACCTTAGGTGTCATGAAGGTCACAGGACAGCGACGGAAGGTCAGTAAAAAATGTAAAAAATATTTAGATTTTACTAATTCTACTGAGTGCTAACGTCAATATACATCTGTTTCTAGGTGGAGATAGAGAAGTTAGACTACCACCACTACCTGCCACTGTTTTATGATGGTCTGTGTGAGACTAAACACCCATATGAGTTCTTTGCCAGACAGGGTGTTCATGACATGCTGGAGCATGGTGGCTCTAAGATTCTACCTGTCATACCTCAGCTTATCATCCCTATCAAGAGTAAGTCCCTTGCCACGACAGCACAGAGTGTAACAAATATTTTAAAAAACATTCCATGCTATTTACAATTATATTGGTTCATGGATCAATTATGTATCTCAAGATTCTGTTCTACATATTCCTTACCAGGTCCTTAATGCATCTGTTTAATGAGCAACCCTAATTTAGTACTTGGCACAATATTGTTATACATGACATTGTAGCATATCATTTTGGTCTCAAGCAATATTGAGTGTTTTTTGTTAGTATATCAGACAATGTTCAAAATTAAGGATAGTCTTGGTTTTGAGCTTGACCACAATACTTTTTTAATCAAGGCACATTAGAAGCTGGACCAAATATAGCTTTGTTTACACTGAACTTTCTTCTGCATTCATCAGCTTGTGTCATACTTTCTGCATCATGTTGTGTAATTGTGATATATATTATTAATTTGTGTATAATCCCTGCATAAAGAATGTATATATTATGTATATATGTGTTTGTGATTATGTGACAGATGCCTTGAATATGCGAACACATATTGTTCTGTGTACTACCCTGAAAGTGCTGCAGCATCTAGTGGTTTCTGCTGACATGGTGGGAGAGGCCCTCGTCCCGTACTACCGCCAGATCCTTCCCATCCTCAACATCTTCAAACAGAAGAATTGTGAGAACTAGTCCGATGTTTATTTTGTGAAATGAGAAACTCAATAGTTACTGGAAGAAAGAATGATTAATAAGTTTCAATTTAATAAGAAACATTTTTGCTACTGAAAACTGTTTTCTCAAATATAAGAAGAGAAGTCAAAACTAGTTTGTTTTTTGCTGCAATAGCAAAGCTCTAATGTAATGGCCTCCCTCTTTCAATCAACTGTCAACATTGCAGTTATGTGAATTTCTTATCAGATGATAATCAAAGTAGTTTTATGGATAACAACTTCTTTAATATTGTAAAGGCGATGTTTCGGTATAGATCCTTGTACCAATGTCAAGCAAGGCGAAACTTCGCCTTTACAATATTAAAGAAGTTGTTATCCATAAAATTGTGTCTACTTTGTCATCCATCAACTTCTAAGTAATGCCTATCAAACAATTCAGATAATAATCATAATCTTCCCAATTGTTACCAGGAGGATCACACGGTGTATTGACCCTAATATGATTAACTGTGTTTCAGTGAATTCTGGTGATGGAATAGACTACAGCCAGCAAAAACGGGAAAATGTGGGAGACTTAATACAAGAAACATTGGAGGCCTTTGAGCGTCATGGTGGCGAAGATGCGTTTATTAATATCAAGTACATGGTTCCTACATATGAGTCCTGTATGCTCAACTAGCAGCCATATTTAGCATCAGCATTGAACACTTTATGTGAGGATTACATCAACCATTGTACAGTGACAAGATGATATTTTGTGATAAAGAAACACTTTGGCCAAACCCTGGATATTTTTCATTGTTGCAAAGTGAAAGATAGATCCGCCCATCAGTATTTCCAATATTTTCCATTGTTTACTTGAAACTGCAATGTATTAATCATCTTGAGCCATTTTAGAAATTTTCACTGTTTTCTTTTAAAGCAGCAAGTTCATAGAATCATATCTAAGATGGTTATCATTGTATCTAATCCCAGATTTTAAGGACATTACATATTGAGAAATAAGTTCATGTGGGTTCTTAATCAGTGTGAATCATCATAAATGGATTTGAAAGAAAGAACATTTGTTTTACATTTTTTTAAATATTTGTTTAATATTCAGTGTTTATTTTACTATGAAGAACAAACAAATTTCTATCATAGTTTTGAATTATTTTCCACATTGCAACAGCATGTTTGGTGTGAAAAGTGACAACAATTGTAGGAAACATTTTCCCCATTGATATTTTCACTAATTGAACAGGTAAATTATATATATGTTCATCTTTTGCTGTAGTTTTGCTTACAAACCTGTCTCAAATTAAGGATTGTCTGAAATTATTCCTGTAATGTTTAAATATAGGCCTCATTATTGTTATTATTTTGGTAAAACTTGTATATATTTTCAAAATTGGCCAGTAGGTTATGAATACGAAATGGATGCTATGATCTCTTGATCTAGATTTTGTTCATCAATAACTGTCCAGTTTTAGATGTGTTTTTTTGTTCAGGTGGTTACCTTACCCTCCTTCCTCCTGTCTGCCTGCCATTCATATGTATTACTTAATCTTTCTGTTGCCAGATATAACCCTCTGCCATGTACAGTTTAACCCTCTGCCATGTACAGTTTAACCTCTGCGTGTTTCTAATGGCAAATATCTGACTCCTTCAGTTGTTGTAAATAATAAATTTAATTACCATTATTCTTGTGTTGTGATATTTCAATTCGAATGTTATAGGCTTCACAAAATAAAAGAATTGGTTCTCAGGCAATGGCTTTTGAAAACAGTGCGGGCGGGCATTGTGTTTTGCTTTTGTTGTTGTTGTTCAGACTAATATGTAACCAAATTAACATTTGTGTACAATCAACCTGGGAAAGGGCCTCCCTACATACATGTATTCCTTGATGAGTAAAATACTGGAATATGGTATTTGCCTACCGTTGGACTTAAAGTGTGTGCACAATATAATACCCCAATACTACAGAGGTAATTTTTTGTGCAAAAACTATGATGGACACAAATAATCGTCATGAGACTAAGCTAAATTGTAATGAAAAAGCCTCTGGCTCACCACCATCTGAGCCATTCCCGAACCCCATCAATGCTTCTATGCTGTAAATTTTCATAGGGAATGCTGATTCTGGCCAGATTTATACCCCCAATATACTACAGAGGTAATTTTTTATGCAAAAAACGCGATGCGAACAAATGATTGTCATGACTAGTATTAAACGAATCATCAATATTAATTAATAATGGGTAAAATTTACTATAGCCGGCGAGGATATTGGAAAGGTATAGGGGCAATACCAAAACTAGCTGCAGCGGCTAAGGTATCTAAAGATGTAGCCAAGGATTGGTTAGAGAAACAATCAATGTGGCAAATATACTTACCAGCCCTGTGTTATATCCCGAGGAAGAAGTTTGATATTTTACAACGAATGAAGTTCATCAGGCTGACCTCTTATTTCTCCCCCATGATAAGGTAAGACTCAAAACATATGAATATGCTTTAACCGTAGGGGATGTGGCTAGTCGCAGCAAGGAGGCTGAGCCATTAACCTCGAAAGATTCATCAGAAGTAGCTAATGCACTGAACAGCGTATATAAATGAGTTCTTTGATAGGCATATAGAAGTTGGAGTACTAAGTAAGGATAAGAATTTATGGATGAACAATTTCTTTATTACAATTAAGAGTGACGTTTTGGTGTAGGTTCTAACAAGGTTCTAACTTGCTTGATAACGGTGTTAGAACCTACACCGAAACGTCGCTCTTAATTGTAATAAAGAAGTTGTTCATAAATTCTTATCCTTACTTATATAAATGAGGATCATTAAAATGGCCTAAGTTACTTCAAGTAGATCCCAGTCACGAGTTTATGGGATCAGTAACTAAACTATTAACAAAGCACGATGTCACAATCAGGCGTGGTGAAAAAGAGTCCCACGGTAGTCAAGCTATTGCTGAAAGATTTAACCGGACATAAGCAGAACGTTTCTTTGGATGTCAGTATGGGATTGAAATGAAATCGGAACTATTAAGATCAACCGAATGGGTGACACGATTATCAGCTGTTGTATCATCGCAAAGTAAGGAGATTAATCGGGGAAGAAACCATCAGATGCGGTTAAAATGAAATCTGTGACTTCCGAATCTTCAGCACCGAGGAGAGGTAAAGAACAAAAACTTCCGGATAGAGTAAGCGTAATATATTTATACCAGCCCGGTGAACTCTTACCATTAGTCGATTGTTTATTAAGAAGGTGAGCCTATTCTATATTATCTTAAAGATGGACCTTACAGGGGATTTGTAGAAGAAGAGTTGCTCATAGTTCACAATGATACAGTATTACCAGCATAACTATACTCAACAACAAAAGTTCCTGTTACACCAATATATTGGTGTATTTTTCAAACAAGTAAAGTTTGGTTTTCAATATTGTAGTACATGTATGGAATCACGTCACAAAAATGCAACTGCTTCAGAAAAGCATGCATTCCATGCAAAAGGTGCCTTTTATGCAAGCCCCATGCAATTCACTACCCAAGAATGGGTATAAAACGTTTGTTAACAGGATTCCATATGCATTGTTTAGTATCGTGCTGACAACAACCACTCAGAAAAACAACAAAATTACGCAATTATTTAACATTACGAAATGCCACGCCTGTCCGAAAATGAGCATCTGCGAGCCATTGGTATGCTTGAAGCAGGATTGAGTCAACTTGATGTTGCAAGACAATTTAACGTCCACAGAAACACCATTTGGTGTTTATGGCAACGTTGGCAAACATGCAGTCAGAGACCATCCTCGGAGTGGCAGGCCACGAGACAGCTGGATTCGAACAACACACCTCGATTCCAGCCAGCAACAGTGACTGCAAGAAGCATCCCTGGCCTTCGACGGATATCTTCACAAACAACGTCGTCGCCTCAGATGTGCAGGGATTGTCGCCAGAAGACCAGCCAGACATCCCATTTTGACAGGAAACCACCGTCAAGTACGTCTACAGTGGTGCAGACAGCGTCTACGCTGGACGGCCATGCAGTGGGGACAAGTTCTATTCACCGACGAGTCTCGTTTTCACCTCAGCCACAGCGATGGACGGATTCAAGTGTACCGATGTCGAGGTGAATGTTAGGTCAATCATTGTGTCACGGAAGAAGATCGGTTCGGGGGCGGCAGCGTTATGGTATGGGAAGGGATTACAGCAAGACAGAGGACCCATTTGATAGTGGTAGAGGGAAGTCTCAATGGACAGCGCTACCGCGATGAGATCATCGGCCCTGTTGTTCTACCGTTTTTGCGTCGTCATGGCCCAGGCATTAACTTTCAACATGACAACGCCCGGCTTCATATTGCTCGACTTGTTCAGGATTTTCTTCAACAAAACAACGTGAATGTCATCTCCTGGCCGGTTCGCTCCCCTGATCTCTCACCAATCAAGCACATGTGGGATGAGATGAATCGGCGCCTTCGATGTCAACCACGTGTTCCACAGACACTCCAGGAACTTCGAAACATGCTCCAGCAGATATGGACAGATATCCCACAGGACTTTGTGCTACGCCTGGTCCATTCCATGAGACGAAGATGTGTTGCTTGCATCGCAACCAGAGGTGGACACACACGCTATTGATTTGTAAATTGACATTTTGTCATCTTCATTTTTTTTTATGAAATCACGCATTTTCTGAAGTCAGTATGGCAAATGAAACCATTTGAACACTTATATGAGTCTTTTATCTGTTGCAAACCGAAATTGTTTCAGATCTGATCATTATCAATCCATCTCTTTGTATCTAAGGGGGATAATGATGTCTTGTTCATTCTTAATCCATATATCCTGTGATTGACACTTCTGAAAGTGTTCATCTCATGTTTAAATGTAAAATGCTTCCTTATACTGTTCGTGTTTGATATGCTTTTTTACCACATACTTCTTAACGCCTTTAGCTTTTCTTATCTCCCCATTATCAGACTTCTTTTTAGAATACATCTTAGGTCTTAATCTGACATACTCCGCAATAGGGGTCCCAGCACATTCATCCTTTATCTTACCTAATACCTTTTTATTATCCCCCCGACATATAATGACGGGAGGATATAGCCATCAGTATGTCCGTCCGTCTGTCCGTCCGTCTGTCCGTCTGTAATCATTGTTTGTCCGGAGCATTTTACCTAAAACGTACAACCTAGCTTCACAAAACATTGTACACTTAACAATCAGGCTCAGTAGAAGTGCCTTTTGCTATTTAGAGATTTTTTTATTTTTTTATTTTTGTCGTTTCCATGGAAATATGATGAACTTAGGAAATTTGAGGGTAGTGCTCTTGTCCGGAGCATATTACCTAAACCGTACAACATAGCTTCCCAAAACTTGGTACACTTAACAATCAGGCTCAGTAGAAGTGCCTTTTGCTATTTAGAGATTTTTAGAATTTTATATCTTTGTCGTTTCCATGGAAATATGATGAACTTAGGAAATTTGAGGGTACTGCTCTTGTCCCGAGCATATTTTCTAAACCGTACAACATAGCTTCGCAAAACTTGGCACACTTACCAATCAGGCACAGTAGTAGTTCCTTTTGCTATTTAGGGAATTTTTGAATTTTTTATTTTTGTAATTTACGTGGAAATATGATGGATGAACTTAGGTAATTTGAGGGTAGTGCTCTTGTCCGGAGCATTTTACCTAAACCGTACAACCTAGCTTCCCAAAACTTGGTACACTTAACAATCAGGCTCAGTAGAAGTGCCTTTTGCTATTTAGAGATTTTTAGAATTTTTTATTTTTGTCGTTTACCGATATCATATACTATATATGATGTGAGCTACATAACCTAGTACATTCTCTTTATGCCTTTGTGTCATGAGGCTACTACAGAGCTATTTATATGCGAATCTGCGAAGTTATTGTTATTACAATTTCATGAGATCATCAGAAAGTGAGCTACATGAACCAATATTTAATAACCTTCATTATATTTCTGGTTTTGGCATCAAGGAAAAAGATTTCCTTGCCATTCTAAATACATTTGAAGGTACACACAATTTACCGACATGCCACGTCAGGGGGATATGTCATCTTCGGATGACTCTTGTTTACTACGCTGTGCAGTGGATTATCTTTTGGGTAATCGCTCGTATCGTACGTATCTATATTTCTGCCATATCTTTATAGACATCCTCGGTTTGTATTTCAATTAACAAAGAATCAGTATCAGTATATAACACCTTGCATCTATCGCTGTATTGCTTCTTAAGTTCGTTGTAATAAAAGTCATACATTAAGTGTTTTGACAAGTCAAGAATACTCATACCAACTTACACCGGTCTGTTGAATTTTATGTTTTTCTTCCGCATATGTAATGCTGCTAAGTCATCAAATATCTTGCTTCTGTTCAAAGCCGGACTGGCTATAAGTTTCCTAAGTCTTTCTTCCTCATTAGATCTGACCAATTTAACATCAACACGCTTCCTTAGACTCTTCATAGTTTTACCAAATACTGAGTTATTCGTGAGTAATATATTAGGAATGCACGTTAAGCTGCCATCGGTCTTTGCGAAAGCTTGTATAATGAGATGAGAATCATATCTCTAAGGTTATGAAACACAACGGGAATGGGTATTGTTTGAGAATTCATTTTTAATTTCAAGTTACACTCGTCATGAGCGACTCCCCTGTAATTACCCG